TCCTTTTTCCTTTTTCCTTTTTCCTTTTTCCTTTTTCCTTTTTCCTTTCTTTCTTTCTTTCTTTCTTTCTTTCTTTCTTTCTTTCTTTCTTTCTTTCTTTCTTTCTTTCTTTCTTTCTTTCTTTCTTTCTTTCTTTCTTTTTTTCTTTTTTTCTTTTTTTCTTTTTTTCTTTTTTTCTTTTTTTCTTTTTTTCTTTTTTCTTTTTTTCTTTTTTTCTTTTTTTCTTTTTTTCTTTTTTTCTTTTTTATTTAAGTGTATTTAGTTACAGGATAGATGTTTCTTCACTGGAAGAAAGGTATTCACAGTGGTCTGGAAAAAGGCATTCCAAACCTCACAGTTTTTAGAAGTGCATTTCTTATGAAAAACTTATTTCTGAAGGCAAGCCTTTTGTTTGAGGACTATGAGCTTTGTTGCTGGGTTCTATTCATACCATTTTCCTTGTGGTAGCGTTTGTGAAGCCTGCTGTGAGGAGAGCTGACAGCCTGTATTACAGCCTGATATAGGATGAGGCTTCATTGCTTCCGATTTGTCTGACTTAACTATGAGATACCTGTTTGTGACCATAAGATGGCTAATAGCTACAGCCTTGATAAAAACAAGTTCAGTCTACACCTGGGAACTGCTGAATGAGACATAGGGCCTTGAGATGAAGTCTTCAATTTCTGCATGACTGCGTGCCTGTAGCTTGAAAAATGAACTGTTGAATTGATGTGTGGTTAAGTGCTGTCAGGGGAGTGGCTGTGGACTATTCTATTTTGAGAGGTTTTAATTGCACTTTTACGTGTGTTATTGAGCTATGCTAGTAATTTAGTGAAAGATGCAAGCAGATGCTTAGGTACCTGAACTGAATACAGACTTTATTGGTTCAGTGGAGGACTTTGCCCTTTAGTTAGTGATTTCTGGAATATATTCAGATCTAGTATGTCTATTACTTCTTTCTCTGTGATATCCTTTATATTCCATTGCCTTTGTCCTGAGACTTCTTAAATCACCTTGTAGATTGAGTCTGTGTTTTATGATAAAATAGGTAGGTAATTCTTCAAGTTACAGGAGAAAACTTTTCCCTAGACACAATTAAGAGGAGATTGTCCATGGTGAGAAATAAGGAGGACTAGTGTATACTAAGTCATTATTTTGGATAGAATGTCAAATCTGTTTTTATGCTGGACAGATTTGTTTGTCCAAGACTAGGTTCTATAAAAAAGCATTTCTATTATATATGTTATGGACCAGTGAATGCCAAACAGGTTGTTTTGGTCTGAACCTTTCTCTGACAGTTCGTGCTGTCATTAGGTACTGTCCTCTATTTTGGTTATTAGTGAAGCCTGTAATAGGTAAATTAAATAAGTTGCTTGGGAGGAGTTCTGTCCCTGCCATGGTCAATCTTCATCTCAGAGTCATTGCTGCGTGATTTATTGCAGCTCTTTTCTCTGTTTCAGCTCTCCCCTGTCACTCTGGGCTCTGGCATGATGGATTCCTGCTAGGCAGGAACTTCCACCTGGTTGCATGAATTGTGTTGTCATGTATCCAATGCAACCATTCCTCTTCAGTCTTAATGTTGAAGTTAGATGAATTACAAACAAAAAAGTGCAACCTTTGAGAGGTTAGAGACAAAGTTCTTCCTTCCTGGGTATTGCACAGGTCTTGAAAAAACTCCAGTACCTAAAACAGTGGAAATATGAACTTTGCTTTCCAATAAAGTTTTTTTGTTTTGTTTTTCCTTTTAGAAGGCTGATGGATAATGACTTTTACTTCAGAAATGTCTGTGTGTTGAGATACATGTTTCACCCTGAATCTTGTCTGTGACACTCTCGCTCAGTGAAATGGTTTTGTTTAAATGCAAACACTGTGTACTTTTATCCTAGTTAGGGAGGTTGCCCGTGCATGTCTTTAGGTGAAAGTAAAGTTGTTAGAAGGCATGAAAAATATCTTTTAAGAGTGCGAGCGTTAAATGTGGAGAGGACTGGGGAAAAACTTGTGATTGATCTCCAAATATAGAATGTTAGTGTCTTCATACTGCCTTAGAAGTGGCATAGATGATGTATGGGCATTGATGCTGAAGCAAATCTTGCACTCTCGTAGAGTCATTTTTTTCTGAGGAGAGAGGAATACTTATCGGTTATTTGTTTTTTATGGTGGTTGTCTAACATGTTTGGTGTGTATGAAGAAATACTGTGAAAACATTGATTCATGATCCTGTTGAATCACATTGATCATGGATGAGAGCCAGAAAGTATAGAAGTCAGGAAGGAATATGTTCAAATGAAAAAAAGGCTGATTTCCTTGGGATAGATGCTAGTGGAGCCTCATTTTCTGGCCTTCTTACAGCTAAGCTTGAATAGTTCAGAAGACAAGGCCAGATTCTGGACTGGTCAAAGTAATTGTGGCAAATCTGGATCCTTCACATTGTCTGTTGCTCCTAAGACTTCTCCAGGAAAGCGGTGTGGAGGAGACTTCTTACAAAGAGGTCGAAAGGTAGAGAGAGAGGCTGACAGCAGAACTAAATCTGGTAATTGCATTGTTACTCTGGTTTATCTGTTGCTTTAATCCAAAACTGGACTGACTAGAGGCTATGTAGCAGCCACATATTTCAGCTTAATTTTTCACTGTGCATTTTATCTTCTGTAAATTTTGCCCTAATGAGTTCTGACCATATATGTTCTTTGGAAATCTGTGGTGTCCTGTGACTGCATAGTAGAATGTTTAAGCATATGTGAAATAGTGAATACTGTTTGTTTCTGCTAAATATTTACTATTTGGGACAAGAAACTAAATTATTGAAATGTATTTAAGTTTTAGTTTAGTGAATTTCTAGAAGGGGCAGAAAGTGTTGCAATTCATGTTAATGTTTAGTTTGTTTTTTACTTTTTTTTTTTTCTCTCTTCTCCTTTCTCCAAGGATGCCATATGCCGGATACTTTGAATTCATGGTTTCTGGTAGCCCAACTTCATGTCTGGTAAGTAAAAATTAAAATAGCGGTATAATTGTTGTCAGAAGAAAATATAGCTTACTATGCTAAAATGGGCTCAATGGTAATTGTGAAAGTGGTTATATTTAATTTGTTAACTTTTGAATTTTGACAGTTTTGTGTTAAAGACCAAAAAGAAGCTAAAATGTTCTAAATCTTTAAATTCCAAAGCAATGAAAAGAAGTAATCTTTTGCCATGAGTTTTTCAAAAGCCTTGCTCAGCATGGTTGGAAAAATTATGTATAGCTGTTTTAGGAAAAGTTTAAATTTACATAAAAGTGGTTTAAATTGTGAGAATTTGTGGTGATTTAAGTTGCTGTTTGTCAGAAGCATTTAACAAATTATAGCACTGACATTTATGCCTGCACCTCTGAAATGTACATATGGGTTGCTAAATGCCAGCTTGGTTGCATGTAAAAATATTTAACACCTTAAACAGTATTTTTTTTTTCTTTTTCATTTATAAATTCATAGCCAAAAAAAAAAAAACAGGTTTTCATCTAACGTTACATACTTGTAAAGGTCAGAGAGATGCACCAGGTGGACATTTTTTTCTTTTTTTTGAGTGCCAGATCTTTCAGGAAACCGAAGTCCATAGATTTGCTTTCAGCTATCCAAAAGCTAAAATGAAGCTTGAATTGAAATATCTGCTCTTAAACAAGGACTTCTTACTTCCATGCCTCTGTTTTTTTCCCTCTTCCTGTTCTTTTAATTTCCCACCTCCTCAGCATGTTGAAAGATGGGGCATCTTATTTCAGTGAAAAATGAATAAATTAGTAGAAGCCATGAATTTGGAATCAACTAATGAGATGAATCAACCAACCAATTAATAAAAAATGCTTGAGATTTGCTGGGTTTGTTATTTATCCCCATTTCTTTGAGGAGTAGATTTGAATTGATAAACTAATCATTTCAAAATGTGAAAAAATGAAAAAAAAAAGAATATTCAAAACCATGATGGAGGTGAAACTAGCATGAGATAGAGATGGAGCTGCTAAGATCATAGCTCTATCAGAGAAGACAATAAGGGAAGCTGAAGTACTATCATGTTTTACAGTATGATCATCCCCCTCTACTCAGCCCTGGTGAGGCCACCTCTGGAGTATTGTGTCCAATTTTGGGCTCCCCAGTACAAGAGGGATGTGGAGCTGCTGGAGAGAGTCCAGCGCAGGGCTACCAGGATGATCAGGGGCCTGGAACATCTGCCCTGTGAACAAAGGCTGAGGGAGCTGGGTCTGTTCAGCCTGGAGAAGAGGAGGCTGAGGGGGGACCTGATCAGCGTGTATAAATACCTCAAGGGAGGCAGTGAGGAGGAGGGGGGCGGCCTCTTTTTGGTGGTGGACAGTGATAGGACTAGAGGAAATGGCTTCAAACTGAAGCATCAGAAGTTCCACAGGAACTTAAGGAAGCATTTCTTCACTGTGAGGGTGACAAAGCACTGGAACAGGCTGCCCAGAGAGGTTGTGGAGTCTCCTTCTATGGAGATCTTTAAAACCCGCTTGGATGCAGCCCTGTGCCACGTGCTCTAGGTGACCCTGTGTGAGCAGGGGGGTTGGACTCGATGATCTCTGAGGTCCCTTCCAACCTTCGGCATTCTATGATTCTATGATGGATGGGTTCACAGCAATATACCATACAGAAAGGAACCAAATTCCTAGACTTCATCGTGCAGCAATGAAAATTTAAACATAGAGGGTAGCACAAAAAGTTATTTTTTTCTGAGGTTTGTATGTCTGTGGTAGCTTGGCCAAAAGAGGATTGTCATTTTGTCTGTAGACTGGAGGACTGGCTTGATGTTGCAGAATATCGCCAGGGTGTACTTCGACGTTGTCAGGTGTATTGCTACGTGCTTACTCTTCAATTCTCATGTTTTAATCACTCTTCATCTGGGTAAAATGGGAAAAGAGCATGAGTGATCCTGCTAGCTCTGGCATAGTCAGGGCCATCCTCTCTTTGCGTGAAGGCTTCAAGGCCTCTCTCTTTCTTGATGAATCTTTTGTCTCAGAGGCTAGGAATCTTCTCTGATATGGCAATCAGCTATCTCACAATGTAGAATGTGGATTGCCATGTATTAAAGTGTTCCGGGTTTCCTCCCACAGAGTAATCTGGAACACTTTCTGGCTTATTCATTCAAAGTTTTAATTGTCGTAGGATATCTCCTGGACTTGGAGAAGATGAGATTTTTCTCTTAGTTTGGTAAAACCTCTCTTGCTGTTGTCATTGCCAATCATGCTCCAGTCAACTGTATTTTTGTGTTCCTGTATCCTACCTTTTATGTATGTAAGGTGCTTGCCAGAACATACCCGCTTGTGTTATGGATTCTGATTGGTCTTCCGAATCTTTCATTTCTGGTCTCCCCTTCTTGTCTAGAGGGAAATGGTGTGTGAGGGTGGAATTCAGGTAGTCATGTTTAGCATATCCCTTATAATAACATCTTTAAAGATAATAATCCTTCAGATATATCCCATTCCTTTCCATTCAGTCCCAAAATTCTGCTTAAGCTCAAAGTTACCTTACCGATATTATTTCTTAGTATCATGCTTTTTTCGACCATTTCTGTTGTGCAGTTTTGGTATCAGGAGGATTCACTCTTTTTATGCTTAGAAGACCAGACCTTTTAGGAAATCTCAAGGTGTTCATCTCAACTGCTGGCTTTGTCTTTTCCCATGCAGCAGCAGTCTAAATGCATTATTGGCTGTGTCTAGACCTGTTACGAAGCTGACTAAATGGTGGTTTTGTTTACTGTACCAAGAAATGTGTCATGTGGCTATCTAGAGCTCCATTCCTATTTTCACCAAGGATGGTATCATCCCTGAAACTTCTAGGCACAAAGCAGAGTGATAGTACTACTCCTGTTGTGAAGAAGTCCAAGATCTGTGGTAAGACTTCAGCTGAATAGCGTTTCCTATATAGAAAGCTGCATTTGAGAGACCAGAAGAGAACAAGAACCATCAGGTACACAGAAAACAGCTTCTGCAGGAAAAGACTTACCACTTTCCATAGATGAGACTGAGAATGCTATATCATTTTGAGATACACTATTTTAAAATAAATGGAATAATCTCTCTGTCACGTGCAGTATAGAGAAGAGCTGAGTCTCATAGAGGGTTTGTTAGAAACAATTTGATCTGGAATGGCTTCAGCATTTAATTGCTCCTACCTGAAGGTAAGAGAGTGGACTGGATGACCTAAATGCTAGCATCAGGAGAGAAGATGACTGTAGAGGCAGGCTCACATCTGCTAGCTTGTGTCTGGGTAAAGATGTGTACATGGCTGTAAAGAAAATAGTGAACTTGCTAGGCTGAAGCATTCTGCTCCTAACTATTAAACTCACGTTACCGTTATTCATGGAAAGTGTACATCACAGCATATGTGCCACAGTTGCTGGCAAACTCAGTTCAGGAGTGTCCTCTTCCTGTCCCCAAATTCCTGGCCGTGCGTGAATGAAACAACAGCCTTCTACAATTGTTGATATTTTTATTGTTAAGCAAGAGTCATTTCTCTGATCCAGTGTAGTGCACCCCTAGAATTAGTTCCACTAGGATACCTGAATTGCACCTGAAGAAGCAGAAATAAGTGGACAGGTTCACAGAATAGCAGGAAGCTCCAAGTAGATTTTGCCATTGGAGACAATATATCATCCTTGATTGTTAGCACTAGTCTACATTTCAGCATGGTCAAACAAGGTAGCATCGATCAGTACCTCTGGTGTTCAAGCCAATATACTAGCACTAAGTGGAAATACTGATGTAAACAGTTACAGCTGAGGGCTGTTGTGAGGAGGTGCTGCTGTTTGTCTAAGAAGGGTGAAGGCATAGGTGCTCCCATTGTTTTTCACACATCCTTTTGTATAATTTCCTTCTAACATAATCTCCTTGCATAACTTAAATGCAGCCTAAGTCATCCACCCTAACCGATGTCATATAGACAGCTTTCTAAAGATAGGCTGGAATAATTTCAGTTTGGTGGTTTGACAAAGATGAGTCAGTATTTGAATAAATTACAGAACAGGTTTTGCAGTGAAACGATAAAATGTTTCACGCTTGATAGAGTTAGAAGGTTCTAGTCTTTAAAGAGGCTGTGTCTTTTAAACCTCAGATGGCAGGTGTAGTAACAAACTACCAAATTTTCAAATAAACTGCAGAATTCCATGATCTCATCCGTGGTGCTGCAGAACAGCTCTATGACAGTACTATACATCCAAACACAGAGCAGCCTTGTAGGCTTCACGAGTAACAAGTATTGCTCTGACCACTACTCCATTCCTGCTCATCAGTGACCAATTGTAACTACTGGTCTGTGTACTCTGCTCTCCTCCTGGTACACCACCACTGCAGACAGACTGGATGGGAACAAGTATTTATGCTCACAGGGTTTCTTGCCAAGCCACTCTTAATTTTTTTTTCCCTGAGCTTGTGTATTCAGCAAGAAAAGTATAAAAATTCTTTTCTTAGTCCAAAACTGGTCTCCTAAACTGAGTCTTTTTTGCTCCAGCTAAGAATATTAAGAATAAGAAAAGGGTTGGGATACAGTCATACCTAACTGACTTGTTTATACAGTGCTATGATATAAATGCTGCAGAGGAACAAAAGTTTTAAAATTGGTGAAACTGAGGCACAGAAGTTTTAAGCTGGCTGTGCATTTGGTTTGTGGAAGGGTTGGTAAGTGGACAGTTATGTTCTGGGTTCTGGACCACTGTCTTAGCAGAAAACTTCTATCTTCTGTAAACAAAATGCAGGTTTAATTGATTCTTGCTACTGTCTTGCTACTCATTCTACTAGCACTTGAACATTTTCCTTCTATTCTTTTGCCGTTGCTCTCTCCTTTAGTCTTCCCTTGCAAGACTTTCTTTCATCCTCACAAGGTTTAACCAGCACCCACCCACCATTTTTTCAGAGCCTGAACGCTCTCTGCATCTATCTTTCTCATTGGAATTAGCTGCCAAGCATTGGAACAAATGTCAGATTTTCTGCAAAGCACAGGCACAGTTCCCTGTGCCTACAGGGACAGTGATTTTATTTCCACTGAAGAGCCGAACAGGTATAAACATCATTTTTTACTTTTAACTCTTCTGGTATGTTCACTGTTGGTACTATGTGACTGCTTTAAAGTGGCTGGCAGCAATGAACTCTTGCTCTTGCATGAGGTACGAGAGAAACCTTTTATGTGGGAAGTTTCCTAGCTGTAGCAACTGCTGCAGAGCAGTGACCTTTTTTAGCTCTGGTGTTTGAGCACCATGAAATAACTCCATACAATACAGTATATACATAGAATAGCAACATAGATACAGGAGAAGCACTTCTGACTCCAGATGCAGGCTCAGGGCTGACTAGAAAGGTAGAGACAGTGGGACTGGTGATGGGACTGGTATCTTAGCTCAGTGAAGAAAAAGCCTCTATTTTGATTAATGCTCCTTACAGATCTAAAAAATTTGTAAATTTTTTACAGATGTAAAAATCTATTTTTTTCTTTCTTCTTTTTTTATACACTGAACAACAACAATGAAGTTTCAAGTGTCTCAGTGCTTAAAAAAAAAAAAAAGAAACAATTCAACTCATTTTGTTAATTTTGTTAAGCTCCCACACTGCACTTAAGAACTTGTGAGTTCTTCAGCGTGTACTGCAAGTAGGGACTGTGCCAAATGATTGGACGTGTATCCAAAGACCCTGCAGCTGAAATAATTTAGAACATGTTAATGTGGATTTGGGTGAAGTCTGCAACTTGCTTAAGCTCTCACAACTTGGCTGGTGTAAAGTCTTTCAGCACTTCAGTAGACCAAGCTGAATTACAGCTCGTTTGAGCTCTAGGAAAAGACGTTGATTCCTGCTCCATGGGTGACACTATTTTAAGAATGTGGAGTACAGTTAGCTAGATTACAGTGCTATCAGCCAAAATAGAGTCCACTGACATCCTGCCATAGCTGGATTGACCAAATTGACCAAAATTTGAGAGACTGACCATCTCTCAAATACAGAATGGACAAGGTCTTTTTTTTTTTATTCTTGACCACAAAAACATATTCAATGAGGGGACTTTTAAATGAACTAAAATCTTTAATTTACTGTTTACATTTGAAGGAAAACTATAAGCTGTGAATTTGTCTCGTGTTTATGTTCTTGCAGGATGTGTCTGGTACGAATGAAGCAGGAGGGTCGAGCAGGGAAATACATGTGTCGCTATATAGTTCACTGTATGTGGGAGGATGTTGAACAGCGTGGTAAGCTGATGGGGGTAAGTCATTTTTGGTATTGATTATTTTGATAACTGAGATGCTTTTGCACTTTATAGTTTCCTAGAAGAAACCCTAAGAATTATTTTGTAGCTCTGTGTGTATTTCTTTATTAGCTTAGGTTGGTATATGTAGTCTTCGCTATGTAAGTGAAGGGTAACCTTATCGTCACTAAGGGAGAAGTGGCAAAGTTTTGTAAATGAGTGTAAATAATCATTAGTTAAATTTTCACTTTGACTCCTTAGTATATCTAGTCTTGATTGTGATTTAAATTAATAGATTAATAGAGCAGCCTGACAAGTGACAATTTTCAAGCAGCAATAATGTCTTACAATGAAGACTTATTTGTCAGCTGCATACACAAGGGAAAGGAAGCCCTAGACTTCTTTCTTGGAATGAACAAGGGGATTAACTGACAGCTCGGGATTTGGTATGAAGTAACATTGGTAATTCTAGAGGCTCATCTCTGATTATGTGTTTCATGTTGTGTGCAGTCTTAATGTTGGTTCTGGTATGGCTTCAGTTTTTCCCTTTATCATAGCTCCCTTTTTAAAACATTTTTTTTCTTCCTTTTTTTCTCCTCTATTTGTCAGTTACCTCCTTAACTTTATTGTACTACAGGTTACTATTAAAGTCATGCTCTTAATCTTTTTTTGAATGAAATCTATATTTAGGCATCTTAATCATTTCTTGCTACATTACTGTGCAGGTCATAAGTTTATATATGTTCATATGTGAGAGTCTCTTTCTCTGGAGATATTCAGAACTTGCCTGGATGCAATCCTGTGCCACAGGCTCTAAGTGACCCTGTGTGGGCAGGGAGGTTGGACTAGATGATCTCTAAAGGTCACAGAATCACAGAATGTTTAAGGTTGGAAAGGACCTCTAGAGATCATCTAGTCCAACCTTCCTGCTCAAGCAGGGACACCCAGAGCACGTGGCACAGGGTGACATGCAGGTGGGTTTTGAAGACCTCCAGAGAAGGAGACTCCACAACCTCCCTGGGCAGCCTGTTCCAGGGCTCCGTCACCCTCACAGTAAAGAAGTTCCTCCCCTCACATGGAGATGGAACTTCCTGGGATTCAACTTATACCCATTTCCCTTTGTCCTGTCACTGACCACCACTGAGAAGAGCTTGGTCCCTTCCTCCCTACATTCTCCCTTCATGAACATACATGTTAATCATATCCCCTTTCAGCCTTCTCTTCAGGGAAAACAAGCCCAACTCATTCAGTCTCTCCTCATACGAGAGATGTTCCAGTCCCTTAAGGTCTTGTCCAACCTTAAGGATTCGATGTTTCTATAAGTTCATATATGGTTATTTTTACTACCCTCATCAGAGTGTTGCCAGCAGGTCAAGGGAGGTGATCCTGCCCCTCTACACAGCTGTGGGAAGGCCACACCTAGAGCATTGTGTGCAGTTCTGAGCTCCCCAGGACAAGAGGAAAGTAGAGCTTCTAGATAGAGTCCAGGAAAGGGCAATGAAGATGATTAAGGGACTGGAGCATCTATTGTATGGGGAAAGACTAAGCGAGCTGGCCCTGTTTAGCCTAAAGAAGAGAAGACTGAGAGGAGATCTGATCAACATAAGCATCTGAAGGAAGAATGTAGGGAGGGAGCCTGGATGCGACCCGGTGCCACATGCTGTGGCTGTCCCTTCTTGAGCAGAGTGGTTGGACTAGGTGATCTCTAGAGGTCCCTTTTAACCTCAGCCATTCTGTGATTCTGTGAGATGCTGTGAGACAGTGTGAGCAAGCTTGGACAAATCAGTTAATAATAATACAAGGCATGTTAATAGTTTGCTTTTCCTTGGCTTTTCATTCTAGGAGGTAGAATGACCTAAGAGCTCATGCAGCCCATTTCAGACTGTGCTACTTTTGTGACCTGGAGGTTATGCATGAGCCACTCACTGAGAGGAACTGAGCTCCCTTCTAGAAATGTATTCTGACGGGCAAATGGCAAACATTGCACGTGATTAGATAGCTAATCTAAAATCTCTGTATTGAATTGCATTTTTTCAAGTATTTTTTTCAATGTTTTCTTATCTTCAGGTATTGGTTTTTCCTACTTTTTCTTTTGCCGTAGCTTTGGCTAAGAAAGAGATAGAAATCTGCCAAGTAAAAACTACCAGAGGAGGACACGGAACAAAATAGTATGTCTGTGTTTTTTTTCCTTAACTGCATCTGCCAGGTCACATCAGTGGTTGTTTCTGTAGCAACCGGAGACCACTCAAATCCTCATTCTGAGTGTGAATTTACATGTTCTCTGCTTGATTAAAAACATAAAGTTTTCAGGAGTCTTTTGACTCCATCTGTGCACACAGAGAATGCTGCTTTGGAGCAGAGATTCTAACACAAGATTAAAAAAAAAAAAAGTTTTAAAATAATTTCTCTGTTCCTTGTAATACATTTTTTTTTCCTTGTATCAACTAGTCTCAGATGTTTTCCTGTAGTCTTCCTTCTAGGATTTGCAGCAGTGGCAAACTGTATAGAAATAAAGCTACCTGCTACCATTAGAAGCATGCAAAACTCCAAAGTGAAGCCAGGTCCAAGTTTGAGCTATAGTGAGATGATTCAATAAGTTTAAAAGAAAAAGAAAATATAGAATTGGCTGACTGCTGTCTAAAGGAAAGCATAAATTTTACAGTTCTACAGATTAAACCGTTTCTTTGCTGCTAGAAATCCCTCCAAATGTAAAAAGTGTCCTTTTATATGATTTTGTCCACTCTGGAGCTTCAAACATTTAATGCATACTTGTTATAACTATATGCTTGTTATAACTGTATGATTACTATATGATGCACCTAGAGAGTGATCCTAAGTTGTTTGGAATGCTTTCCATTTCATACCGTATCAAGTTAGACACCTTTTCACAGAATCATAGAATGGTTGAGGTTGGAAGGGACCACTAGAGATCATCTCGTCCAACCCCCCTGCTCAAGTATGGACACCTAAGAGCATGTGGCACAGGGTCGTATCCAGGCTGGTGTGGAAGATCTCCAGAGAGGGAGACTCCACAGCCTCTCTGGGCAGCCTGTTCCAGGGCTCTGTCAGCCTCGCAATAAAGAAGTTGTACACTTCACAACTGTGAGTTGTCCACTCACACAGTGATGAAACGTCCCGTATTTCAGTTTGTACCCAGTGCCCCCTGTTCTGTCAATTCTACCAAGAAGAATTTGGCCCAATCCTCTCTACATTCTCCCCTCAGGTACTTATACATATTGATCAGAGCTCCTCTGTCTTCTCTTGCCTAGGCTAAACAGGTCCAGCTCGCTTAGTCTTTCCTCCTGTGATAGATGCTGTCCATGAATCATCTTCATTGCTCTCTGCTGGACCCTCTCTAGAAGCTCCACATCCCTCTTGTCCTGGGGAATCCAGAACTGCACTCAAAATCCAAGTGCAGCCTCTCCAGAGCAGAGTAGAGGGGGAGGATCACCTCCCTCCACCTGCTATCAACACTTCTCCTGATGCAGGTCAATATCGCATTGGCCTTCTTGGCCACGAGGGCACATTGCTGATTCCTAGTTGACTTGTTGTCAAGCAGGGCTCCCAGATCCGTCGCTTCAGAGCTGCTTTCCAGCAGGTCAACCCCTAATCTGTCCTGGTCCCTGGCATTATTCCTCCCTAGGTGCAGGACCCTGCACTTATCCTTGTTGAACCTTATGAGATTCCTCTCTCTCCAACCTGTCTAGGTACCTCTGAATGGCAGTACAGCCCTGTGGAGTGTTGCCTGCTCCATCCAGTTTGGTATCATCCGCAAATTTGCTCAGGGTGCACTCTGTCCCCTTATCCAAGCCATTGATGAACAAGTTGAACAGCGCCAGGCCCAGTACTGATTTCTGGGGGACACGACTGGCCACAGGCCTCCAATTAGACTTGGCCCCATTTATCACTACCCTCTGAGCTCTGCCACTGAGTGAGTTCTCAATCCACCTCACTGTTCACTCATCCAACCCACACTTCCTGAGCTTCTCCATGAGGATGTTATGGGAGATGGCGTCGAAAGCCTTGCAAAGTTAAGGTAGACAACATCCATGGCTCTCCCATCATCCATCCAGCCAGTCATCCCATTGTAGAAGGCTATCAGGTTTGTCAAACATGACTTCTCCTTAGTGAATCCATGCTGACTACTCCTGATCATCTTCTTTTCCTTGACATTATTTTCAGTTTATACTTGAGTTTAAATTTCCCAGATGATCGTACTTACTTTGTATTAATATGATTTCTGAAATGCATTTTACTTTGCTACCAAGGTACATTGTTGACTGAAGTTTGATATTAACTGTAGCTTTTATGTGGCAATAGTTGAAACAAAGCATGTAGACATTTAAGAGCTCAGTCCCACAAACAGTTATATCTCTGTGTATATTTCATGCAATTCAGATGCAGAGGTCCATTGATTTTCATGAATCTCTTTGTGAGAGAAGGTGAACTCTTGGGGTAACTGCTAACTAGACTTAATGACGATTAAATCTGTATAAGAAAGTTTAATGAACTCTCCTAGGCTGCAAACATGGAAATTGGGACTGTTCTCTTCCCCATTGTGTTTGCAAAGGCACAAGGCTTCATAAACTTATAGTGATGGATTTTATTCTTTCAGTGATTCCTCATCTCTCAGACATTCATTTGTAGAAAGTGATGAATTTCTCAGTCTCTTCTGGTAATGTTTATTATATTTTTGATCAAAATGACTAATGCATTGATTTTTGAAGAGGTTAGCCCTTTCTTTCCTTCTAATGATTGCTTTATTTACCTTCCTCTGTTGGCAACCCTAACCTAATCAACCACTCCATGCTTCTCCGTGAGTGCTTTGGTTTCTTCCATGTTTATTCACTTTTTATCCCTTAGTTTCCCCACCACTAGCATGCCTGTCCTCTAACTGAACTCTTTCTTATTCACTTCTTGGCTTTAGCAAAGATGTAAGTAGTAACAGGTAAAGGACACCTACCCTAGGCATTAGGTGCAACTTAGTAATCTTGATATATTTACTCTTAATGTTTCTT